TTTCACCCTGTATCTTTGTCTATCCTTTTCTCTCTTTCTCTTTTTCTCTTTTTCTCTATACTTCTCTTTGTCTACTTTTCTTTCTCTTCCACTCGTCCACTCACATCGCTCGCTCACGTTTTATACGAACATACCGCAATAGAAGAGAGAGAGAGAAAGAGAGAGAGAGAGAGAGAGAGAGAACGTGTAGGTCTTTCGACTATGCGATGGAGATCAGTCCGTCTCTTCTAGGTTTGTTCTCTCCGATCTTCTCTATCTTTCTCTTTCTTTCTCGTATACGAAGATCGTCTTTCTTTACGGTAATCTATCTATGTAAATTCTTCTTTTTCTGGAATTATATTCAATTATTCGATTATAAAATTTTCTTATTAAATTTTTATTTCGATTTAATAAACATTGAAATAATGTAATTCTTGACGTATATGTAAACGTATATGACGTAAGATGTATATGACGTATATGAAATATGTAATCCTTGACGAATCATGAATCATGACGATAAATGGTAAATTAATACGTATCTTCAACAAAATGAATTCTTCTTCATGCACAATGGCAGTTATTAAATGTCGTGAAAAAGTAATTAAAAAAGCAAAAGTTTTGCATCGAAAGAGTAGAAAAATCAATTGATAATTGATCGGGACGTAGCCGAGAAGCTGGATAGGATGATGTCCTGCTTCGATGCGGTCGGTGACTGTAAAAGAAGGAGAAAGAAAACGAAGATGAGAAAATGAGAGTGCCAAGCAAAAAGAGAGGGAGAGATCCTAAAGAGGATCGTGGATAATCCCTCCATAATCCGGGAATCATTCTCGGAAATGAATCGTTCTATCGATCCAAAGGAAATATAATTGAAAAACTTGCTACTTTATTATTGAAGAAAAAAATGTTAGATATCGAAAAGAAATTCTTTTTCTTTGCTAATCATTTTCATAGAAATATGAAAATGTTCGATGTAATATTATAGATACATATTCGATTCGCCTGACGATAGGCAACACTTTCTACTCTGTAGATAATCTTGTTACAGTCTACTACAACTTTCCTTTCATATACACGCGTATACATGTTGATATATGAGCACCTATGAAAAAATTATTATCGAGAAAGATATGGAATATCGCCTAACTTTAGATGCAAATAATTCATTATAGCGTGCATAAATAAAATTCAATAAGCAGCACGAATCATCAACATCTCAATCAATTTCAAAAATATTTTTACGGATCTCACAATATCAAAAGATAAAAAAAAATAGAGAAATCATCGTCGTCGCACCTAGATGTGATTCGATTCGTTTCCTGCGTTGTGCTCCTTTCGAATTTCCGCCTTTTCGAAATAACTTTCGTACCGAGGAAGTTAGCTAGCTAGCTGGCTACCTACCTACCTACCTACCTACCTACCTACCTATCTACCTACCTACGCGAGGCACCTAAAACGAAATCGAGTTAGAATCGATTTTCCGTATACTTTTACGTATCCACATACGAACGTATGTAAGTGTGCGGTGTGTGGTGATGTGTGTGTGTGTATGTGTGTGAACACGATAAAGTATAAAAGTTCCACTAAGAGAGACGAATTCTCGAATTCTCTCGGTTCGATCGAAAATATTATACTTTGATGGAGCTTAGAATTCTCCTTCTCTCTACGAGAGCTATTTTCGAACGTAAATAATGCTTTTCCATGAGGGAAAACGGAGGGTTGGGAGAATGGTTGGGATGGAACATGTAGCCGGTACGATTCTCATTGTTCTACTCTCTACGAGTAGCGCGTGACACACACGTGCGACGTTGGATAGAGCCGAAGTGGAAGTTTGAAAATTTTACGAGAAACACGTCACGATGTTGCTACAGCGGCAGTCACGATAGAATGATGTGAAGAGGTGGAGGAGGAGGAGAAGGGAGGAACTTCTCCACTCCCTGTTCTCGCGAAATAAGCTCGTTCACGGTTCACTGCGACTCAATTTCAACCGTAGTTACATAACGGACGTTGCTAGCACGGTCGTCCCTTCGTTCCTGTTACCTCTCCTTCCTCCTTCTCCTCCTCACTCGTTTAACGTTATCAATGTCGTGTTTGCGCGTGATGGCCCATCCGTACACCCGGACAGATTGCAACACCGATCGGTAAATAGCAAGATCCCTATCATCCTCGTATAACACGATAGCGTGAAATAAGAGGGTAATTAATATTATCAGGCTATCAAGGTTTCTTTTTCTTTTTCCTTTTTTTTTTTTGTTCTTTTCTTTTTTATTACGACAACGAGAGGAAACGATAAAAGAAGGAGTTAAAGGGAAGGGAACAATGAGAAGAATAAAAGTTCGTCGTTGAAATTTTGTCTGAAATTTGCGAGAAATTGGCCAAGAGATTGCCAATTGGCTATGATGGGTGATCAGTAACGTTCTCTTTGAAATGGCTCAATTTGAATCGAATCCAAGAGAATAGTATTGCTTAGTTTAAAGCTATTTCAGCTAAAATCGAAAAAGATGCGGCACGATTTTTTCTTTTTTATTTTTCTTTTTTGTTTCTTTTTTCTTTTTTTCAATTTCTTTATTTCGTTTGTATCAAAGAATTATATCAATGGAAGAAAAATTATTTTCTAAAATAATATCTCCTTTGCCAGGGAAAAAGGATCATCTTCGAAAGTTTGAAAATCACTTTTAAAAATTAAAGGTGTGTAAAATATAGAATAGGACTCATTCCAAATGTAGTTAGAATTACATGAAGAAAGAGACCGTAACGATGGGAAAAGAGAAAGACAACGAGAGTTAGCGAGAGCGTGCTCACATCGGTCTCCATTTGTCACGGTAATAATCGCACGACCTGCAACCGTGCGTGACTCAATTAGCTGATATCGATAGGGCGGATCGTTAATAAGCCAAGAGGTCGTTAGATGCACGGTAGATCGAGTTTCCCTTCCATTTAAAAAACTAGCCAAACGTATAATTAATTCGTAGCCTCGATCGATATAATTAATGTCATTGCAAGTCGATCGGCCATTCGATTATATTTTAACTTTCACATTAATTCTTGGTCGAACTGAACAAACGAACATAATGCATGTGTATGTAAGTATATGTACGTATATATTACAACATATATATATATATATATATATATATATATATATATATATACATACGTACATACAACTCAAGTTGTAGTTCACTACTGTCGTCTTACGAAATCTATCGTCTCGTGGTAATTCGAAAGCGATTGTTCAAATTTATGAGAAGCCATTAGAACGATATCCCGGACATTCACCGAATGCCTTCCCTGATTCCTAGCGCAATAAAAGAGTCGCATGGCAGTGCTATTTTGTCTCGACTCGGGTACCGCCATGTAACATTAAGAATATAGCAATGAATCTTTATCTCGGTTAGAGAGCTTGTCCCGTCTTATTATATTGTTATAAAAGTACTATAATGACAATAGACATATGAAAAGAAAACACGGAAGTTTCCATATAAGAAGGTCTCATCTCGATAAATAAATTGAAATAAGAATAAACCCATCGTTATCTATTATTCCTATTCTTTCTTTTTCAGCAGTGAGTTCCATGCGGCCGATAGACAATAACAACTGCGTAGTGATTCAAGATATCAAGGCTGTCACTCATGAAAACGCTCACGTTCACGACCCTATATCAACTCAGATACCAACGGAAGGTAAATATCGAGCAGCCGTTAATTTGCATCCACTTTGCATGATGTAAATACTCTCGCGAACAACGTCTCACGATGATTGCTTTTGGGAGATGGACGGATGCTGTACGTTTTACGTACTACTCTGTACTTCTATCTTTATCTCTCTTACTCTCTCTTTCGCATCAAAGTTAACATTCCTTTCAAAACCATGAATGAGTCTCTAGTTCTATCTCTATCTCTATCTCTCCCCCCTCCTTCTCTCTCCCTCTTCTCTTTACGTGCGATAGTACACAGTGAGATTAATAATTTTATGAATACGATCGCGATATGAAATAAACACTCGACACGTAAAAGAAAGTCAAAGTGCAAGAGTCTTTCTCTTTCTATCACTTCTCTCTCTCTCTCTCTCTCTTTCTTTCTTTCTTTCTTTCTTTTAAATTCATACTCCGTTTACTCAACGTGTTTTACCACAAGTATTCATTAAATTTAAGATTCACTTTTCTCTATCTATTTTCATCAATTTTTTAATCATCCACTTTCATTATGAATTTACATGTAATAAATCGTAATTGTAATATTTCGTCTTCCTAAAAAATTATATATTACGATCAATAATATAAAAGATGAAAATAAAATAAAAAGGGGATGCTAATCAATATAAATAGATCCATATCGATAATATATAGTTCGAAATACTTACATTATCGCGAAAACAAAAAAGGACAAAAAGAAAGAAAAAAGAACGAAATGAAATTTTAATGGAGATATGGATTCGCGTGCCATACATTTTGCAAATGGCTTCGTAAACGTAACTGCATTGACCGCATCAGCCCGGTAGGAAATCGAATACGCTCGATAGAGTTTCATTCCGAAGGGAAATGGAAAGTATCAAAACGCAGAGATGTACCCGGCGGGCTCGTGAAACCGGCTACATTATTGGTACAATGATAAAATCATTATTTAGTGGTACTAAAAGTGCGAGGAGGCGCAAGGTATGAGGCATGATTTAATGAAAAGAAATTAAAAAATAAATAAATAAAAAAAGAAAAAGAGAGAGGGAGAAAGAAAGAGAGAGAAAGAGAGAGAGAACATGAAGAAAAAAAAAGATGAACGACTTCCTCCCAAAGCGATCGTTTTGCTTATAATTTAATATGATTTATTTTATCGCGTCACATTATACAATAACGGCTTTCCTCGTAATAATTACTCGATGATCTTGCAAGCCACGCTCGATATATCTCGAATTATCTGATTTATATTTATTATACACCTTATCCGTGCAAAAATGTTAATCGAGTTTTCCTGGCTTTTCCGATGAATAATCGTCACGTTGCTGTATAACACGCGAACTATACTGGAGTTCATATATGTATGTATGTATGTATGCAAATTTATATGACTATGTACTTCTGTATATTTCTAAATGTATATGTATAATTATTTATTTCGTTTTTTTTTCTACATAACGGACACTCTCATAAGCTTAATTTAGTTAGCAAAATATTGATATAATTTGAATTTTTTAAAATGTTTTTTTTCAATTTTTTTCTTTTTTTTTAAAGAAGTTAAAATTTTTTACAAAATTCGTACTAATGTTATTTTAGAAATTTTCTCGAATAGGGCGTGGCAGTCTTTAAGCCGGTCACCCGGTAGATACTCCGAAATCAATAGAAGGGCATCGCTCATAAATTGGAGGGAATGAATGCAAACGGGAAAAGAGAGAGAGAGAAAGAGAAAGAGAGAAAGGAGGAGGAAGGAAACTCATTCGAATGCCGTTCGCTTTCTTTTGCATTTGCATTTTACAATCCCTTAATGTTCTTACGCACTCGACTCCAAGTACGATTCCACTTTCGAGCCATCAGTCTCCCTCCCTTTCTTCTTCCCTCTCTTTTCCTTGGTGTAGCATTATACATTAACATATAGTTTTTGTTATAGCATTCCGACATGTGTATGTTAGTACGTATATTAATGATCTCCACTTTTTAATTTTAACAATGATTTTACAAGCTTGCCATTAATTCTATGTAACTCGATTGTTATCGTTGACCTATTCTAATGGTTGCTGTACTTCACAAGATCCCTAGTTTCTTTAGCATATAAAAGAAAAAAGGGATGAAAAGAAAACTTAACTTTCTTAGTAAATATGTTGGCAAATAATGTATATAAAATCTAGCACAAATTTTTTACACGTTTTATTTTCATAATATACATATACTAAATGAATTGTTTAACCTTCTATAACCTGTATAACTTTAAAGTCACATAGTTAATTTTATACATACATATACGTACGTATAACAATCTAAATATTTTAAATATTATTTTATCATTGTAATATAAATTATTCGTTAGTTCGTATAGGAATATTTTAATATTTTTTTAAGTCTAAGTTATACTTAATATAATAATATTAAGTTATACTTAATTAAGTTATACTTAATTAAGTTATATTTAATATAATAATACTGCATTTCGATATATATATATATATATATATATATATATCGAGTATTTAAAATATAAAGTTACAAATTTTTATATCGAAAATATTTTGAGAAAAATTTCTTCCAACAAAAGTTATCAGATTTCAAGGATGAAATATTGTTTCATTTTTTTCATTTAGTGGAAGATTCAAGGACAATTTAAAGTCAATTTCGTTTTTTTTAAATAGAAATCTACATTTTTTATAATAACAAAATATTTTACTTAAAAAAAATTGGGTTATGAAGGGTTAAATTGAAAGATTGAAATAAAAATTTTTTTCTAATTCCTTTCATTAATGTCCTATATATCACAAAAAGAAATGAACATTATTACTTGAGTTGTAAAAATTACAGAAAAAAGAAAGAAAAAATATATGAAAATAATAATCATATACCTAATCACGTTTCGTCGTTTACATTTATAGAATCACTGCCGACCAGTACTGCCGAACACTCTAGTGCTGCAGATAGTGTTGGGGACCAGCAAAGCGATCCACAAATTCAACAATCGGCCCAACAATGGCCAGCTGTGCTCGAGCTTCAAGCTTACAACGTAGCGCACTCAGCCTTTATACTACCGTACCACTTTTGGAATACCGAGTTCCGCAACAAGCAACCGGCTTTCATCAGGTTAAACCTAACGTTGCCTTGGGGTGCGAACTTTGCCGTTTACGGAAGACGAAACGTAGCACCAAGCGTCACGCAATACGACTTCGTTGAGTTTGTAAAAGGTGGCCGTGTGGATCACAGACTTAAAAGAGATGCATCGTCCGAAGCTGTGAGCTTTATGAAACAGGCAACCCAAGATTTTGGCATTGAACCTAATCGATCTTCGCGAGATACTGGAACTAAATCTATCAAGTCTTATCAACATATTATCATAAAAAGAACGATCGTAGAGCCAATGATGGTCAACGTTAGTCTTCTTCAATACTTGGACACTGGCCGTTGGTTCTTGTCAGTTTATAATGATGAACTTCAACCCTACAAGGTTACGCTGGTCGTCACCGAAGCTGAAGGAGTCTCCACAACTTGTCCTAACGACTGCTCTGGTAGAGGATCATGTTATCTTGGGAAATGTGATTGCATCGATGGTTATCAGGTATATAATAATATATATATATATGTGTGTATGTGTATGTGTGTATGTACGTATGTGATTTTATAATATAAATTTAGTAAATTTATATTATATATTCTTGTTAAGATGTATAATACTTACAATAAAAGAGAATGTTGTTCAATTTCGTCCGTTCGTTTATAAATTTAGGTCGAATCAATTGTTTTAGGGTGCCGACTGTAGTAAAAGCGTGTGTCCTGTTTTGTGTTCATCTCACGGCCAGTATGGTGGTGGTATGTGTCATTGTGAGGATGGCTGGAAAGGTGCCGAATGCGACATACCGTTAGGAGATTGCCAAGTTCCTGATTGCAATCAGCATGGGCAGTGCGTTAGAGGATCGTGCGTTTGTAATCCTGGCTGGAAGGGTGCCTTCTGTAATGAACGTAAGTTCACTTTCGAAATTAAACTAAACTTGACGATAAACTATACGAGTGTATCTATGAAAGTGGATGCAATACACATACGTGTATATACATGTATATACATATATGTATATACATGAAAAGTTTTCGATCGCCTTGAAACACGAAAGGATTTTTTTTTAATTTCTTAGTCTTTAGTAAATGAATTTTTACTTGCAATCAACATTCAAGATACTAGAAAACGATAGATTTTTAAGCAAACTTTCTTTACCTTCTCCAAACGAAAGAAGAATCAAACATTTACTTTGCTGTAACCCGCTTGTAACTTGAAAGATTAAGATCTTTTAACGTAACCGTTTCCGTTAGTAGTAGTATTACGTTGTGTCAGGGAAAAGTTCGAAACATGGTAAGAAGTAAGCTTAACGTATACCTACATTTTTCAATAAATTCTCCTTACATTTATAAAGAAAGAACACACACACACATACAAAAAGAGAGAGAGAGAGAGAGAAAGAGAGAAATAAAAAGAAAGAGAGTGAGATAGTGGTAAAGGAGATTAGAACTGTGCGAGCAAACTTTAAACCTCTTCGAAGAGAACGAGAAAAGAAGAAGAAGCTTTTATTATCTAAAGGATACTTTATTGTTTTCAAAAATCAAAGTAACAAAAAATATTAGCCTTGCTGAAGACTTACAATTTAAAAATTATTAAATGACGTGATAAAAATAAAAAAATATTTAAATGTATCGAATTTATGACAGAAAGACAATAGTTACGTCCTTCGTATTTGTCATGGCACCATTAATTTATCCATAATTCAAGTTTATGCTCAGCCGTGGTATCCTCTATCGAGGGAGATTCACAATATTAGTAATGCACAATTCCTACCAAAGCTGCTAGCGAGAACATAGCTTTCTCACCCTTTACTATAGGTATATATATATATATATATATATATATATATATATGTATATATATATACTATATACAACGTACCGACCTATAATTAATGCGCACGACGTTCTCCGAATTTACATATAGGTCAAGCCGTGCCGATTCGAGTCCAACAATTAGTTTAGCCGCTTTCGCATTGTTTTCGGTAGAGAAATTTGAATTTTACACGAACCATTCCGTAGAACAACCGGATGGTTATAACTAACGAAAGAAGGGGAATGAGGAAAAAGACGAGAATACATATGGCAAGCAAATATCTTTAAACCAATTTTGATATATCCCAATATATTCTCATACATATTCTGAAGAATATTTCTTATAAAGAAAAATTACTTTACCGGTATAAATGGTTAAATTATTCCCAACGAAAAGAAACGCTTTGTCTCTGACACTTTCAGACAGATCCACCGATCGACCTCGACACTTCTTATTTCTTATCCTATTTTTCTGTTAGACGAACAACTCAAGAAAAGTCCTGCCACGAAAGACAAATTTTAAAGAACCGTTTATTATGATTTACCTGTGTATGTATATGTTAATATATATACAGTATATGGTATAATGCGTGTATGTTCATGATGTGTGTGTGTGTGTATTATATAGTATATAATATATATAGTATATAAACCTACTTACATAAACATTCTAAAGTGGGACACGCTCACACAACCCCTCTTCATTCTCATCGCATTGAATCTTACGAAAGGATTTTCAATGATGTTCGTGAGATAACATTCTTCTACTACAGACTGTGACGCTTTGTTCACAATAAAAGTCGGAGTTAAGAAGAGGAGAAAAAAAGAAAAACGGAAAAGTTAGAGTAGGCAACAATATTACGTCCTCATTCGATCACTGTCGCGCATACTTCACGTTTAAAGAAACCCACGAGAAATTCCAGCGTGCTGTGGGTCAAGTGAGAAACGACACCACCACGTAAAACGAGTCATGGGATATATTAACGTTCTTTTCCTTTCTCACATAGACGCTGTCGTAGTAGTAGAAAAAGATCTTCCTGAGAAAAAAAGAGAAAGAGTGAAAGAAAGAGAGAGAGAGAAAAAGAAAGAGAGAGAGAGAGAGAGAGAGAGAGAGAGAGAGAGAGAGTAACATTCGCGGACGCGTTTACGTTTCTGCGTCGCAGGGACCCCGTTGGAAATGAAGTTTCATAATTTCCCCGGGGCGAGCGCGGTATCCGCGGGGATAATGCAATTGTTCCGATGCCGTAATTTAAAAAGTTGCGAGAACGGACGAAGTCGTCGTCGCTTCTCCAAAAACGAAAGAGAAACGCTTCTGAGAAATCGTCCGACTGTTTAAACTCGTTAAATTCATTTTTGTTTTTGGATTTAAATAAAACATTTTTCATTTTGCTTTTCTGTTCCTTCTTCTTTTTTCGATCAATTTAAAAACAATTTGATTTAATGATTATTACATCAATTAAAATAAAGTCGATTAATATTAATTATTATTGTATATCAGATCACATATTATTATATATATATATATATATATATATATATATCTAGTTTGAAATCGATGTTCTGGATTCATGTTCAGTCCTCTTTTCACGATACACATATACATACACACAACACACACACACAGAAACTGAGTTGTACAGAGTACATAATTTAATCGATATTCCGAAACTCCAACGAAATTGCGCCGAAGTTTCATGGACGAGACGTCGTCGAAAAGCGAATAGAGAGAATGAGCGAAAGAGAGAGAGAGAGAGAGAGAGAGAGAGAGAGAGAGAGAGAGAGAGAGAGAGAGAGAGAGGAAATGATAGATAGAGAGAGAGACATGCGATTAATCGAGAACAACCCTTTATCGCTTCCAGCCGATTGTCCGGATCCAAACTGCAGCGGTCATGGCGCCTGCGTGTCCGGCAAGTGTTACTGCAAGGCAGGCTGGCAGGGTGAACGATGCAATCAGGTCGATCAGCAGGTGTATCAGTGTCTACCAGGTTGTTCGGACCATGGCACGTACGACCTCGAATCTGCCGCGTGCATCTGCGAAGAACATTGGACTGGGGTCGATTGTTCACAACCCAGTTGTGGCCTGGACTGTGGTCCTCATGGATCGTGCGAACAGGGTCGTTGCAAGTCAGTATAATTATCTTTTGTCTCTCTTATCTCTTTTATTTGTTATCAAGCTGATTATAAACGTTAAAAACATTTAACTAATAATGAAGATTATTTTCCAACAGTTCTTTTCATTATCTCGGCTTTTATTTAATTTTTTTCAATTTGAACAATCCATTTTTTCTAAATAAATAGAGATATTCATTGTGCGCAAGTATTAAGCGCCAGAACATATACAATTGTCTATAATATGTCGATAACGTTGCTCGTCGACGTTATCTACTGGTTAAAAATTTTTTAACCCTATATTATACGATTTCTCTTTTATATATGCGTATGAAAGGATATTACATGACGCAACGTTGTTCAGAAAAGTTTCTCCCTTATAAATGACGCTCGTAAGCAATATTATCGGCGGAGTATGAAATAATTCTTGCTTTTAGGCACGATACAAGACGATTATAATTATAGACACTTTTTTTTTATGTCGAGAACATAAGGAACTTCCTCCGGTCGTAACTAAAAATGAGTAAATTGCTCGGAGCAAAAGCGAGGGGTTGAAGTCGTCGTGGCTAAAAAGGTGAAAAATTGTGAGAAAAAGGCAGGCTCTGTCTTACGGTGAGGGGTTGAAGGGGTGTACCAACTTATCACAACTCGAAGGACCGCCGTCCCTTTTCTACTTTCCTTTGTCAAAATCAAGGACGAGAGGGAGAGAATCTCCTTTCTCATATTCCAAAGCTGACGCCTTTCCTCTCTTTTCCTTCTTCATTCCTTCCTTCCTTCCTTCCTTCCTTCCTTCCTTCCTTCCTTCCTTCCTTCCTTCCTTCCTTCCTTTCATTGGCCAGAGTTTGCCTCGTAAAGGAGGCTGTAAGTGCAAAAAGTTCTCTTTCCGCAGGAGGATAACTTTCGAACTGAGTTTAAACTCGCATTTTTTATTATAAACGATAGAAACTCCACACCGGCGAATAGAATCTCCGTATTCAAAAGTGGAGAACATTTGAGGCTTTTTAACCTGTTCTCTCTCAAGGAGAAAATCGATCGAATTTTAAAGATTATATCAAAAATTTAGATATATAAAATTTAATAAATTAGCTTGATACAAAAATTAAATGTCATATTATTGTATTAAACTCTTTTACTTACATCGATGTTTAATTTAATTGTATACGTTTGAATTTTAACGTTTGGATCTAGATGTCATGACGATTGGACTGGAACGAAATGCGATCAGAAACCATGTGATCCACGTTGTGCTGAACATGGCCAATGTAAGAACGGAACTTGCGTATGTAGTCAAGGATGGAACGGAAGACATTGTACTTTGCGTAAGTCTATTATCATTCTATCCTCGAATTTTTATTTTAATTTCATCATCAAAACACAATATAAATGCGTTTATCATTTTTCTCTACAGCTGGATGCGAGAATGGTTGCACTAGACACGGACTGTGCACGTTGCAGGACGGCGAGTACAGTTGCGAATGTTCAATCGGTTGGGCTGGCAGAGACTGTAGCATAAGTCTCGAGATGGAATGTAATGATTTTGTCGACAATGATCAGGGTAAGCTTCCTAATAATTCGAAGTGAAAAAAAGAAAAGAAAAGAAAATAAAAGAAAAAAAAGAAAAGAAAAAGAAGAAGAAAGAAGCTACATAGGTCTGAGCATCGTTTTGTTATAGACAAAAATGTATTTTTTATATATTTTTGTATAAAAAAAAAAATCATATAATTAAACGATATTGTTCATTTAGATGGCATGGTGGACTGTTCCGATAGTGAATGTTGCTCGCACGCTACTTGTGCCGAGCACATTATGTGCCTGGCCAGTAAAAATCCGGTCGATGTCCTTCTTAGGAAACAACCGCCTAGTGTCACTGCATCGTTTTATCAACGAGTCAAATTCCTCGTCGAGGAAAATAGCGTACAGAGCTACGCTCATATGGACGAGTACACGGAAAGGTAAGATCGACTGTTCTTCATCTTTATCACTCGTTTTTTTTATCTGTAAAAAGACTAATCATACGATCTAGCGAGCTTAGTTCATTATTTTCATAACATTTACATAGGAGAGGATATGATCGATCGAGTAAATTATCGTAGAATTTTTTCTTTCTTCTTTTTTTTTCATTGTCTCATTTATTTAAATGATATGATCATTTGTAAAAATTTTAAATAAAAAAGGGAGCTTGTCATTAATATAATTTCGACGATAATGAGCTCATTCGATTAACGTTAAATACTTACGATTCCTAATATCTCGAAATAATAGCATAGCTGCGTATCATAGTTTGGCCTTTTTAGGAATTCTATATAAGTGCGGGTATTAATTAATTTTTTAATTTCGAACGTATCAGAAACGCGCGATACGTCGAGTTTAGTTTAAAATTTTCGTTCTTCCGCCACGTTATATCGTGTCATTATCTTAATGCGAACTTGTAAAGTCGCATCACATAAATAAAACATCGATATAAAGTATTATTAAATAGTCTTGAACTCGGTTGTTGTTTCAAAAAAAAAAAATTGATCGCATTATAATTTGTTATCGTGCAACAACGGTTCGCGATGGGGTTAATAAAACTTTTTGAATAACAAAAAGAATTTGAGAAAGGAATATATATTTTTTTTCATAATTGTCGATTCTTAAATTATTCTCATAAGAATTCTTAAATTATTCCATAAGAGAAATAAAAAAGAGATAAAAAAGAAGAATAGCAATATAAAAAATATCGTAAATCTTAGAAGAAGGAGAATAACAATGTTTAGAAAAAAAAATTAATTCAATAATTATTTCAAATTCAGAGTTTAATTGCAGATCACTATTGAGATTGATTTTAACTTACGCTAGAATAAATCGATTCTGTAAATTTTATTTATATTATCATATCTATTTCCTTCCCCATCGTGAGCTGTCGCTGAACGCCACGATAATTTGATCAGATCGATTGCTACCGTATAAAACCGTTTTATCCAGCATATCAGCGACAGTTGAGTTGTCAGGAGAGCCCCCGGTGGGTGACAACCTTAAAATCTCCGAGTATCCTTTTCCTTGTGTTTCAACCCTTCCCTCCCTCGAACGCCGAATGCATTGTCGATCGCCTTGAAAAGCAATATCGATCGAAGGAAACGCATTAACATTATTTTTATTATATAACCTTTTACACGCATCCTTTCCATTTTTTTGTTTTTAACATTACACTAATTTATATTTATTAAGACTAATTTTTCACGGATCATGTATTTTGTGATGTTTCGTATAAACGAAGAGAAAATACAATAATTATTTAATTTTTATTTATTAACAAACTACGAATCATAGAATTAATTATAAAATTATTATCTCAAACAGTACATTTGGATTTAATCACGCATCTAATAATGTTGATTATAATTAACGAGATTCATTTTATTGATATTTCATTTAAAATTCATCGCATCCCTTTTCTTATTATTTCATATTATATTTTATTTACACAAATACTATATAACATACTTTTTATATGCTTTATAGTTTGCTCGTTCGATATTAAACGAAAGGCGAGTTGGATGCATGCAAGATCCTTTTCACGAAGGGTCTGCGAGCGCATTTCGGGGGATTCGTGTATTTTGTCTAGTGTTGATCCTCTGTGTATACCCTACCACCACCAGATTCACCAATCATCCTAACAGTCGAAGACCGAAAATAGAGAAGCTCCGTATTGCAAACGGACCGGACGATAAAGCCCGCATCTTAAATAATGTCTTAGAAAGAAAAATCAAAAAGAAAAAAAAAGAAAAAAGAAAAAGAATGAGAAAAATCTATAAGAGAAAAAAAAATTAACGAGAATATATATTTTGATTATTTATTATAATATGATATCAGTTTAAAGTTCGCGAAATTCTAATTTTTTTTCTACGTGTTAAAACGTACGATATATATTAGGCATTATCGTGTGACATATACGTGTGTATATGTATATACATATATGTTATATACACATACACACTTACAATGTAAGGGACAAAGTAAAGAAAATTTATAAAGAAAAAGAAAAGATAAAAGAAATATATTTTTAAAAAAAAATATTATATAGAGAATTTTCCAAATTATTTACGAAAACAAATCGTGTTTCAGCCATTCGTTAAATAATTATTAAATAATTACCACAGAAGGTTTCGTAGATTAAATGAACGAATGGTCGCTGTCATCGCAGCTGGTTAATTTCATGCTGACGAAATGCAATTAATGGCTTAACGTAAACTGTAAATATTTATCTATCCGAGTTGGGTAGAGACGGACGCCTAGGATCAATTTAATTGCTGCGAAAAGCCAGCGACGTGACTCGATCACGCGTTCGACATTGACGAAGATAAAATTTAACAACATAA